ATGCAGGGCTGGAATGAACAGATGCAGGGCTACATGCAGGGAGTTGGTGGTGCCCTGCAGTCCTCTTGTGTTTTAGCACCTGCTTCCAGTCTTATTGATTCGCATGGCATGTGTTGTCTAGGGTAACAATAAAGTTTTTTCAGCACCTTTAGAGTCATTACTCTGCCTGAAGTTTCCTTCAGGCTAGCCCTAAAAATTGGGAATAGCGCAAGGCATGGTGGTGTTGTCTGTAGGTCAGGTGGAACACCTATAATCCTTGCACTCCAGGAGGCCAGAGTAAAAGCATCATAAGTCCAAGCCCAGTGATTCATTGGTTCCCTGTATAAAAATAGAAATAAAAAATGACTATAGGTGTACTCAGTATAAAGGACCGGAGATCAATCTCTAGTACTGCCCCCCCAAGTAACGAATAAAGGAGAGTTAAAAAAGGAATTAGTAGCAACCAATTAATAAAATAAGCATAAGCCAAACAAGCTAAACATAAAAGAGATTATATTCAAATAAGTTACTTCTATAATAATATAATAATTCCTCCAGTAAATGCATTGTCAAAAGAACATTTTGATCATATAGTTCTTACAGTAAGCAAACAAGATAATGATAAAGAAAGTTAGCTAACTATAAGTGAAGCAGGTGATAGTATAAAATTAAGACAAGAGTAAAGCTGGAGAAACAGTTTCAGCATTAAAATGAACTAGTATTTAAGGTTTAAAAAAATCTGAATAATAAAATACATCTTGTAATGTAAAGCTAGGAAAAAATCTGATATGACATTGTCTATGTACTTCAAATAACAGAGCCATTGAATATAAATTCTAGCAAGGTTTTTATATATGTGAGGGAGACCAAGATACTTCAATAATGGAATTCACTCTCTATGATTATAATCCAGTAATATCATAATTTAGTAATTCAAAAATGATCTATTTCTGGCAAGGAAAAATAGGTCTTCTTATAAATTGATTATCAAAATATAGTTTAATTTATACATATATACCTATATGCATATACATATATTCAGTATCTATTAAAAATTGAAAATATGCATATTCATTGATCCCAAAATTCCTCCCAAATAATCTATCCATTTACTGAAATGAAATAGTATAAATAAGCACAGGTTCAAGGACTCTATTGTGACATTCATTTTAATAAGAAAATAAAAACGAAGAAAGGAAGTGAATGTTTATCAGTAGGACATGGTTAAATAAATTATGTTACAGTGTAGAAATGTAATTGTTGACTTAAAGAGCATTCTGCCAGGCCCCAAGGAATCACGAGGGGTATAAGGGGCCATGCACGACACATTGCTTCCCTTGGTCAGGGAAGAGAAGCACCACATGAGTGTAGCAGCAGTGTGCTTGCTTACACATGTGTAGATATATGTCATTATCTGAACATGAAGAAAGCAAAACAGTTACTGGGACAGACAGGAGTTAAGAAACAATGGAAGGGGGCTGGTGAGATGGCTCCGTGGTCTAAAGCACCTACTTAGAACAAGCTGAGCAAAGCACAGGGACCACGGTTCAATCCCCCAGCACCACATGCCAGCCAGCCCTGTCCCCTGGTGGCTGGCTACACACACACACACACACACACACACACACACACACACACACAAATAAATAAATAAAATATTAAAAAAAGAAAGAAACAATGGAAGGAAAATTTAAGAGGAGAACAAGGCAGACAAAAATCTCACTTTTAAGAAGAAAAAGGTTATGTCTTATGACCTGTGGGTATAACTAAGATTTCTAATTGAATGAAAAATGCAAGTCTATGAATGCAAATGTACTATGGTTTAGATCTAAAATGTCCCACAATGTCTCAGATTTAGAGTTTGGGTCTAGTTTTAAGGGGTGAGCCACAAGAACAGAACTTGCAAGTGCTATAAACACCCCAGGCTCCTCTCTTGTCTGCTTTTTTTTTTTTTAAATGTATTTAATACATGGTCTATAGGGCTGCACTATTCAGATCCAACTGATAGTGATCCTCCTGTTTTTAGCCTCCCTAAAACTGGGATTACAGGTTCACACCACCACGTCCACTCTCAATCGCTGTTTCAGTGCACCCCAGGGGCCGAGCTGGCACTGCATGCTGGGAATCAAAGCCTGGTTCCCTGTTTAAATAGGCACTTTAATCTGCTGAGCTCTCTGGCCAGCCCTGTCTTTCTGCTCTTTAACCACCACTTGATGAGGTATTTTCCTCTTTCATGCTCTTCTGCTTTCTGCTATGCTGTTTATGCTTTCTTCAACCCAGCAAACCATGGACTGAATCCATTGGAACTGTGAAGAAAAATGAATCTTTCTTGCCTTAAGTTGTAGGAGTTGGGTGTTTTGTCCCCACAACAAGGAATAAGGAGGCATTATTTATTCCAATTAAAAGCCTCTATCTCTAGGAAAGTCAGTTTTAGAGCAAAGAGTTTGTTACATGAGAGCAAAGAAAACGTTAGACTTTTAGGAATCAGTCTCCTGAATGGGAACTTTTAACTGAATATGGATGACATCATTGCATTCTATTTTATTTTATTTTCATTTTTATTTATTTATTTATTTATTTATTTTTTTTTTTTTTTGCAGAACCGGGGATTGAACTCAGGCCCTTGTGCTTGCCAGGGAAGCGCTTATTCCACTGAGCCATCTCCCCAGCCCCATAAGGATTTTTTTTTTCTCCAAATGCCCTCAGGGGTGGTTTGGCTTGCTGGAGTGTTGTGGAGATCGAACTACAGCAACTTGAGGCTGAAAGCTTTGCTGAAGCAGCCACTTAAAGAACTGAGTTAGGGCCAGGCCTCTATCATTGCATTTTAATGTGAGAACGTGAACATCTCAAATCAGAAATTGCTCATAGCAGACAGAACTTTGAGCACGGGTCTCTAAGATGTCCAGGCTGTGATCTTCACAACATTTCCACTCAGGAGGAGATTATATGAGTGAGCCTAATCTAATCATGTGAACTTTTAAAAGCAGAGAGCTTTTCTAGGCTAGTTGAAGAAGACAAATTAATGAACTGGCTAGGCTTGGCATGTGAGGAGAGTAACCTCCTGCTATTGACTTGAAAGTAGATGGAACTACATGAAAAATGAGAGAAGAAAAGAATTCTTCTGACACCAACATTCCTGATGGGAATCTCAAAATGCAGACTAGAACTATAGCCCTGCTAACCCACTGCCATTCACCTTGAGTGGCTTTTAAGTAGAGAAACAACTAAGCATGCTATAGCTGGGTCTCTGAGCCATGAAAAGTGTGAGATAGTATATGGATGTTGTTTTGAAGCATAAATTCGTAGTAATTTGTTCCAGCAGTATTAAAAATGAATGCATTATTCAGTGTTTAAAAATGTATATAAGAAGAGGAGAGGCTTCTCAAGTAAAAGACAGTCAAAGGGCTAGACCCAGACTTTGAAGTCTAGCAGAATTGGTATTAACTTTTGTCCCTAATTAACTGTTTGATTAGGGGGGTAAATCTTTGATGAGTACACTCATCATCAAATAGCATAATGGTAACTAGTGTTACAGTTGTGTGTGTGTGTTGTGTTTGTGTGTCTGTGTGTGTAATACATCTATCTATCTATCTATCTATCTATCTATCTATCTATCTATGGAGTTTTCTGAAAAGACTACTCTGAAGATTAGTCAGAAAACACTAATCTTTGTCTTCAGTTGAAGTCTGAAGTGCCAGGTGGAGGCCTTGCCCATCTGACTTTTCCTGGTGCCCACCTTTGCCTTGGCACAGCCCCCTGGGGTTAGTGCCAAAATACACAATGGAGTCATCTTTTCTCTTAATGAATGAGACACAAAGGCCCAGGCTGGTGACTAAGGGGCTGGAGGACTGCTCCTTTCAATGAAAAGATTCCTGAAACTTTGACATGAGAATGTAGAACATTATCCTCAAAATTTTACTCTCTTAAAAGTCTCTTTTAAAAATACTCACCTAGAAAAATACCAAATGGCAGGAGATGGCACCATGTAAACTTTGGAGGAAACAAAATTGGAAAGAAAGAAGATATTCATTGCTTAGTCTTTTTTTTTTTTTTTTTTGAAAAAAAAATAAAGCTTTCATGTCAGCACCTTCATCTTCTGGCTTTCCTAAAGCCTTCTAAGCTCTTGCAGCTTCTAGAACAGGATATTTATCACAAGATCGGTGGGAAAGACTAGTCACATGAGTTCACAGACGTGAGAGGTCCAGCTATTGATTTGCAAGGCAGAAAGATATAGTAATAACTGCATCAGTGATGTCTTCATTTTTAGTTATTTACTTCTTTTTTTTTCAAAACATATTTATTGAGAAAGTGTCATGTGTGTGTTAGACACTGCAGGAGAAACAATGACGAACATGACACTTGTTTGTAAGGAGTCTGTGAACTAGCACAGAGCTTACAGCAGGGTTCTTTGTTTTCCTAGAGGACTTTGGCAATGTCTGGGGACATTTTGGGTGGGATGGAAGAGATGGGTATTACTGGTATTCAGTAGGCAGAGAGCAAGAATCCAGCTCAATCAAGCACAGGACAACCCTGAAGGACAATGTGGACCAACCATCAGCAGTGCTGAGCCTCAGGAACCCTTGCGTAGAACAAGTCACGCATGACATGGGAAAGGTGGCGCAGGTGAGGAGCGCTGAAAGTAGCCAGAAAGCAGAATGTGACCTGAGCTTTTCATATTGGATGATCCATACAAAGTGGAGGAGCATTTATTTGGAAACATAATCCATAAATATTGTTGATGGCAGAGAATCCTCTCTGGATAGGGTAGGAAAGCAGATCAGAAACAGCTGCTGCTTATAAATTGCGTGTCCACAATATGGCTGGTAGCTGACTCCTACTTGAAGCTTGTAATCTGCTTGAATTAAAACTGGGGACATAAAACAGCTTGGTGCTTTCTTTTAGAATTTATCCTTCTACCCCCATTTGTCAGACTTTATATAAGCTGTGAGATTCAGCAGTGAAAATCCTCTGGAGTGAAAATCTGTAATATATTTTTCCCACCTTTTTGTTTTTAACCCCAGGGAGCATTTCTAATAAAACTGATCCCTGCCCTACAGACCATGATCTAAGTCTCTTTAAAGAAGACCAGGAATTAAACTTGAAGGTAAGATGAAGGCTGTAGAAGTTGACGTCAAAACGACAGACCTTGATTATTAGCTATGACTTCTTAAAATGTATTTCCAGGTAGAAAGTACTTTGGTCTTCAAAGCAGGTTCTGGAGTGCAGGACAGGCTAAAGCAGCTGACATCTGAGAAACCAGCAATGCCAATAAATTTTTATTACATCCGAATCGGACTGCATTAAATGTTGAGGACTTCAGTTAAATTAATCAGTCTACAAGATTCTTTCCAGCTTGAGTAGTGTGATTAGAAAATGTGCCAATTGTGGTGTGTTTCAGTTATTTATTTGGTCTGCTCATGGCTGCCACAAAGTACTATGGAATGGTAGTGGAGTTCCATTGTGTGGAAGCTGTCTCGGTAAACTTAGCCCAATTAAGCAGCCTGGGTTTTCAAACGTTGCTTAAATTCAATTTTACTGTTATACTTGGATCCACTTTTTTAGATACAGTACTTAACGATTTCAAATTTGTGACTTCTCAGACTAAGTTTAAAGTATTTAGCGAACTTAGAAAATTGAAGTTGGATTTCCCCACAGCCTGGACCCTACCTTCCAAGAGATCTGAAGCACCATCTTAATTCTCCGTGCTCCTCACAGAAAGCAGTGAAGAACTGCATTGTGGTGTTTTAGTAAATGGTACATGTCAATTATGACAGTGGTCCTATAAGGATATATTTTCCCTTTTTTTCCTTAGGATGTAGCTGTTTTAATTTGTGTACATTCATGACATTTGCTCATGATGAAATTGTGTAGCTGTGCATTCCTCAAAACCTGTCCTGACAGATAGTGAGGTTAAGCTTAACAGCCTAGGTTGTATGGTAATAACAATGAACTTGTCCTCTGGAGGGTTAACAACCTAAGTTTGCAGACCAAAATTAGAGAAAAAAGAGGACCACAGGGAAAGCCAACATTTTGGCCTTACCCTTCCAAGGTCAATTACGACTCAGGAAATATGAGAACTTATACTGTAATGTCGTGTAACTCAGTAGTGTCCCGAATTTTCTGATCAAGGAGATTATGGGGCCAAAGAGGAAAGTGATTGATGCTGTAGAGTGTGCCTAAGGAGAGTCATATGGAGAGAAACCATTCTCTCAGGCTTTCACAGAGAGCAT